TTATTGCTTAGTCAGCCACTCTGCTTATCTCAATAGAAAGACACTAAGTAAAGAAAAAGGCTTTGCTGTTTGCTTTTAAGTGCTGTGTCTGTTAAAATGCCAGGCTAAGGCCCAATCCCATTTCACCCCTCGCCCCTACCACTTAGCTCTTAGCCTTCTGTTTTGCGCGTTCACGTCTAGGGGTAGGGTGTCCTGATTCTTGTTGAGATAGAGGGGGAGGGTGAAGTGTTGGGGCTACATGACCCTCCAAACGGAGGTTTTTCAGAGACTCCAAACAGAGAGTTATGAGAAAAAAAGAAAAACCAGCAAAATGGCTGAACAAGAGACCAAAGAAACCCACAAATGTGAGAATTTTCTCTGTTAAAAAATTACGATAACAACTGTATTATCTTAGTTTAATGTCGGTTCAGTGTATTATGGTCGTTTTCTTCATAACAAGTATAAAAAATCGCTAATAGCATGCTAATGTCTCGGTAGCTAGCTAGCTAACTTTCCCATTCCACCTTAAATAGTCCAGCAGTTCTGATGCCTGAAGCGCCAGAATGTAACTGCTGCACCATTTAAGGTGGAACGGAAAAATTCGAACAAAAAGCTGGTGAATATCTGACTTCAGCTTCATATCACTGAAGAATTAGGGGTGGGTGATAATAAATAATTGCCCCCCCTCTTTGAAGGCATATGACTCCCTAAATGTAACTAAAGCCCAGCAGTGAGGAGCTGAACTCTGCTATCACTGCAGATGGGCCGGGTCGCCTACAGAGCAGCGCTAGTAGCTGTTAATGAAGTAAAGGTTTTTATTTTAATTTGAGGGTCCCGTTTTGTAGGGCAAGATTTCATCCACTACCGCTTGTTAACTCCAAGGGGTCAGGGTGACACTCGAAAACAAGGGGTAGGGGTAAAAAGAAGAAATGGGATCGTGATGTTACTGCCGAACATGCTGATCATGCGCCTGTTTATTGGTGGTTGCTTCTTTTTCAGCTTGAGAAACCACTTTCACCCGTTCTTTTAAGAAACAAATAAATACTGTGTACATTGTGCTCCATCCATTTCTGTGTTGATGTGTGGTGTGAATGAAAAGTCAGGTGTGGAGCCGGGGGGTTCTGTTCTGCTTCTGGTGGGCCTGCGTCTAGCACAGTTTGCTGATTTCCCTGCTCAAACACACTGACTATATATGCTAATTAACTGCTGTGTTGAATCAGGTGTGTTTAAACAGGGAATAACCAAACTCTGCAGGACTGTAGCCCTTCAGGATCGGACCCAAGTACCCCTGGTGTAGAGTCTTGAGTGCTGTTCGGACAGGATTAGTTTTACATGGGGTAAAGTCATTTCAACACGACGTCTGTAATGCTTTGGGATGAGAAATCACCACCACCACATAAAACAGCTAATTTTTCTGTCATTCTGAATGTTTTAGTGTTTGGGAGTCGTACACTTGAGTTAGGACGATACATATCTGCTTGATATGATACGATATTTACCCGTATAACAATCCACATGGGCTTTAATACACATTTTATCATCTCCACTTACCATATAGGTGGTAATTTGTAGTTCTACAGTTACAGACTGTAGTCCATCTGTTTCTCTGCATACTTTGTTAGTCCCTGTTCTTCAATGGTCAGGACCCCAACAGAGCAGGTACTATTTGGGTGGTGGATCATTCTTAGCGCTACTTAACACTGACGTGGTGGTGGTGGTGTGTTAGTGTGTGTTGCGCTGGTACGAGTGGGTCAGACACAGAAGTGCTGCTGGAGTTTTTAAGCACACTGTCCACTTTTAGATAGCCCTACCTCGTTGGTCCACCTTGTAGATGTAAAGTCAGAGACGATAGCTCATCTGCTGCTGCACAGTTTGTGCTGGTCATCCTCTAGACCTTCATCAGTGGTCACAGGACGCTGTTTGTTGGATATTGTTGGTCGGTGGACTATTCTCAGTCCAGCAGTGACACTGAGGTGTTTAAACAACAGTAATAATCCCATCCGAATAGTATTTTAGACAGAGTGGTTTGGCAGAAATTCTATAGTTTGGTGGGTGTTCACGGTGTGAGTGTCAGCTACATGTGTCAGCAGCACAGCAGGCGTGATAGCAACAATATGTGTATCATGCGTTTGATTAAATGAGTGTGGATGTGTATGCGTTAGCTGCATATATCATATATTCTCTTTAACTGTGTGTATTTGTTGTTGTGTGTTAGCCACAGGTGTCGAGTGGACACGGCGGGGGCACCACGGAGGAGCAGCAACTTTACTGGGCGAAAGGGACGGGTTTCGGCACAGGCTCCACCGCCTCAGGCTGGGACGTGGAGCAGGCCCTCACCAAACAGCGCCTGGAGGAAGAGCACGTCACCTGCCTACTACAGGTGACACTGACTGACTCACTCTCTGAATCTTCAGCCTAAAAATGCTAACCCTTTCCTGGCCATTGCTATCTTTAATGTGTTGTTAGCACTGCTGGATTTGGAGCACGAGTTTGGACACCGACTGATTCGAATGTATATTTTTCATAATCTTTTCATAAACAGCTTGAACTACAAGCGTATGTGAAAAGCTTTAAATTTGTTTCAAACTCTTTGTTCATACCTGGTATCCATACATATCGTATACGTGCGTACACTGATCAGGCATAACATTCTGACCACCTCCTTGTTTCTACACTCACTGTCCATTTTATCAGCTCCACTTACTATATAGGTGCACTTTGTAGTTCTACAGTTACAGACTGTAGTCCATCTGTTTCTCTGATACTTTGTTAGCCCCCTTTTACCCTGTTCTTCAGTGGTCAGGACCCCCATGGACCCTCACAGAGCAGGTACTATTTGGGTGGTGGATCATTCTCAGCACTGCAGTGACACTGACGTGGTGGTGGTGTGTTAGTGTGTGTTGTGCAGGTCTGAGTGGATCAGACACAGCAGTGCTGCTGGAGTTTTTAAACACTGTGTCCACTCACTGTCCACTCTATTAGACACTCCTACCTTGTAGATGTAAAGTCAGAGACGATAGCTCATCTGTTGTTGCACAGTTTGTGCTGGTCATCCTCTAGTCCTTCATCAGTGGTCACAGGACGCTGCCCACGGGACACTGTTGGCTGGACATTTTTGGTTGCTGGACTATTCTCAGTCCAGCAGTGACACTGAGGTGTTTAAAAACTCCAGCAGCACTGCTGTGTCTGATCTACTCAGACCAGCGCAACTGTGGTGTTACTGCAGTGCTGAGAATGATCCACCACCCAAATAGTACCTGCTCTGTGAGGGTCCATGGGGGTCCTGACCACTGAAGAACAGGGTAAAAGGGGGCTAACAAAGTATGCAGAGAAACAGATGGACTACAGTCTGTAACTGTAGTGCACCTATATAGTAAGTGGAGCTGATAAAATGGACAATGAGCGTAGAAACAAGGAGGTGGTCATAATGTTATGCCTGATTAGTGTATGTCCAGCGACCATTTCTGAAGGACGGATACCGTCTTTTGATACAACTGTCTCACTGCGCTTGTTCTACGATGAAGGCGCCTCGAGTCCTTGTTCATGTACGTGTACAAGCTGTTACACATGTACAGCTGGCGTGGATTGCTAATGCAAATTAGGCCTATGAACAAATAAGGGGCTAAGAAAGACGCTGGACACAGCTGATTACATGGCCCTTCTTTTCTGTTGGGGATGCATCAGGATGCTTAAGCATTCACACTACAAATGCTATGAGAATATATGACCATCTCTGAATGTGGTTTAAATGATTGGTGAACAGAGCGTCTCTGAGAGGCATTGAGCCCCATTCACACCTGGGCTTAGTGCTGTCCTTTTACGATCAGGTCACTCGTGTGAACGAGGCCTGAGAAATACAATTGATGAAGCCATTTATTTCCAAAACAAAACATTTCTAAAAAGTAGTTTTCATTGGAAGTAATTTTTCACTTCCATTGTAGTTAAAAGTGTATATCTATACAAGAGCAAAGGGGTTAATTAGAAACAGATGGACTACAGTCTGTAACTGTAGAACTACAAAGTGCTCCTATATAGTAAGTGGAGCTGATAAACTGGACAATGATTATAGAAACAAGGAAGTGGTGTTAATGTTATGGCTGTTCGGCGTTGTATTCTTTCTTTATAGTTATGCATATAAGGACATAGTTTGATTGTATCTCTTTTTGTGTGTAGGTGCTGGCAAGCTACATTAACCCTGCTGGATGTGTGGGGTCAGCCGAGGCCCCGTCAGCAGAGAGCAGAGGTCACAACAGCACGGCTCTGCCCTCAGTCCTACAGGAGCTGCTCAGCCAGTCCTGCCTCATCCCCGCCATGTCCTCCTACCTCCGCAACGACTCCGGTATGGCAGTCTACTTCGCTTTCTCTGTGTGTGCTTGGCTTTTTGGACTGCTTTACTCCTGTTCAGGCTGGATTTATGTTTGTTGTGCGTGTTGCTGTTGTGTTTGACATGGTTGTCGTTCTCACACAGACATGGCGGGCATGTTATTGATCTGAAGGGATACTTTTGCTGTATAATCGCCTGTGCAGTTGTCTCTGTGTGTGTGTGTGTGTGTGTGTGTGTGTGTGTGTGTGTGTGTGTGTGTGTGTGTGTGTTTGGAGTACTCCTTTGTTGAAGCCTGTGCAGTGAGTCAGCAGGTGGAGCCCCTGCCTTTTTCCACAGAGCCTCTCCTCGTCTCGCTCGTTATCCCCATTTCTCTCTGCCTCTCAGGCCATGACTATCTTTCATACTTGAGCATATTTATAGAGGTTGTTAATAGGGCTGGGACCATTCATGGAGTCATCGATAATTGTTGATAACAGCCATCAAATTGATAAGTACAATTTATTTATTTCCATTCCTTTTTGTATGCATGAGCGTTCTGCTCTCGATACATTGTCTGAAACTCCAGTCTTAGTTTTCATTTATTTTCACACAAACAAAACACCGTCAGATACAATATTGTTCATGCATTGTTATAGTTTAATGTTTAGGCATCACAAAAAAGTAGTAACAGTGAAGTTTTGCACTCCAGCATTAAAATGGGTGTTTTTTTTTTTTTTCTGCAGTCTAATGTAGGATTTTCTGCTGATATCAGCCTGATACTGACACCCAGCCCTATTCAGAGTTATGAAATCTCAGAATTTTATCACAATTCGATTTGATTATTAGCAGCTGCAGGTGCAGCCATGAGCACTGATATGAAAGGCAGTATTAGTGTTAATGTATACGCGTTCAAAACTTGATGTGCATTTTTTTATTACTGCATATCGCTGTTGTCGGAACAAAACCCTGTATCTCCAAAATTATAACTTTACAGGAGAAGGAAAAAAACATACTATATTTTCAATGCAAGTCAATAGAACCAGAATTTTTTTCAAGTCATTTTGGGCCGTTTCTTTTGGTCCAATCATCATGAAATTTATCCACAATGTAAACGGCAACAGGCATTTTCAAATTATGATAAAAACTGAAACTTTTTTTTTTCTCTCTTCAATAATATTCTTTGTTGGCAGTGGGCTTTACACATATAAGTAATATCAGTGCTATACTATGAAGAATACCTACTTTAGTACAGAAATAAAACGTTTTCTGTTGTACGTCAGCTGTTACTCTTTTCAGAAACTTATTACAAAAGGATATACAACCTTTTGCAGCAAAATCCTTCAATTTTATGTATTTTTATTTATTTAAAACACAGACTAGGTGTGAAAAGGTCTTGAGGCTTTAACGGAAACTCCTTTTTTTGTCTCAATTTATTAAAAATGCTTACCGCCCCAGCCCCAATTGCTGACCGCTTAACAGAGATCTGGATATTTAATAGCAGAGTCTTGGAACTGCTTTGGGTTTGAATGAAATACTGATGCATAATACTTTCATGTCCGTATTTCTTGGTCTGTTTCTGCTTCTCTCGCTGTTGCTCTTACGACTTCCTTATAAACATTTCCCATATACATGAGCATGTTCAGCAGAGTTGGTTAAGTGCCCAAATGTGAATATTTAACAGCACATTTTGTGGAATTGTGTTGGGTTGCCATGAAATATTTGGCTCTAGATGTTTCCCTGTAGTCCAAGGCCACCCGGCAGCAGATGCCGGTAATTAGTATTTTAGCTGTGGGGTGGATCAATGTTGTAGTTGGAGGAATGGGGAAAAAAGTGTATGTGTACGTGTGTGTCCAAGTGGACTGTGCAGTAGTAATCCTTAAAGGGATCATCTTGAAAGTCTTACTGTGAGAGAGTGTTTTATACCTGTGCTTTGTGTAAGCATGTGGCATGTGTTATCCTGCCTCAGGAAAATGGCAGAGGGTGCATCTGTGGAGAGAGCATCTCTCCACCCTGCCAGGGATTTACAGCGTGCCTGTATGAGTCTCCTCCCCGAGAGCCGTGGGGTTTCATGCTTTCCCGAAGTGATACAGCCTCCGTGTTCTGTATTTCATGTGTTCCGTGCCTTGACCGAATGCAATTTTGTCAGCGAGTCAGTGATGAATAGACTGTTCAGACACAACTGCATCTACTCTGCTGTGGTTTTATCGCTTAAATGGACCTGCACCCATTTGGTATGGGGCTCATTCACTGGCAGTTATGCTTATATGTGTGTATGTGAGCATACATATTCATATTCATGCGCACTGTGCTGTGTGTGTTGCATAGGGGTTTAAATCTCTGACCTCACTTTGATTCAAGTCTTTTTAGGAAGCAGTATAGTGTTAGAGGTGGCACAATACCACGTATTCTTTTCTGAGATTGGTTGGTACCGCTCCTTTATTTTTCTTTTAATAAGTTTTTAATATGTTTTAAAATGAGCTATTTTTAGGTGTAGAGCATCTAAAAGTAGGCTATTCTGATCAAACTACTCAAATCCTGTACTACCACCCAGGAAGAACTACACAGCTGGCATCACACAGTGTAAATGTGTACTATCTCAGGATAGGTTTGTTACAGTATTGGATCAAATTCATTTTTCCCCTTTGCTGATATTCAGTCTAGGACCTGAATTATTTTGGTACAATTTTATTTTTAAAAATGTTTATTTGACAATAGCTCCTTTATTTATTTAGTTTCCAGACAAGTACAAGTTATTTATTTTTCAGGTAATTTCTGGCAAGATTAGATAGAAGAAACTCCACTCGCATAAGAAAAGGGAAAGTCAAAGAAAAATAAATGACAAATTCAAGCTTCTAAAAACGGGGGTTCAAAAAAATGACTAAAAGATCAAGAGAAAATGAGACTGATAACAACCTTTCAAGACCTGCTGTGCTACCCAAACTGCCCCCATCAGATAAACAGCACTTAAAGCTTTCATCTCTGAGAGAGAGGAGAAAATCAAGCTGCTTCAGATCTGAAAACATCCACAGGTGTTTCTGTCCATCCTTCCACTGTGAGAAGCCAAAGGAAGAAGATATAAAAAGCAGAAGAGACTTGAACTACAACACCAAAACTGGACGTCTGAAATACGGAGACAGCTTTATGTTATGATGAGTCTAAATATGTAATACTCGGATTGTGAGAAGCAGAAAGGAGTGGAAAAAATCCTCGCAGATTTCTTTGAAAAACTGAAAGCAAGTTTCCTGAAAAGATTGGAAGCTGTAACAAAGGCGAAGGGCGAACAAACTAAATACTGAGAAATTTGGTGGTATATTCAATTAAATTTACTGTAAAAATCATGTTTTTTGCTTTTTTCCTTGCACTAAAAAATAAATAACATGCTTAAAGGCCAGATTGAGTGGAAATTGAATACACGAAAGGTCTCTGTCCTGCTAATGATCTGTATGAATACATATCATTGATTAGTGCACATTGATCAGTGCATTTTTATACCACTGACGTTTCAGGCTCGTGCTTAGTGTAAGCGCATGAGAACGAGTGTGTATCCTAAGACTTTTAACTCCTCTTTGTTCTCTTCATTAAATATGCACAGATAAAGAGGTGAGTGTAGTAATTAGTTCTCATTATCAGCTGCAAGTTGCAGCTCCACTCCAGCATGTGGTGAAGTGTGTGTGTGTGTGTGTTTTTCCACATTGACGCCATTTCGATTTAGCGCGTTTGCCTCGTGCTCCGTTCTTCCCCGCCCCTTCCAATGGTGTCAAGGTAAACAGAGCTTCTTTTGTATTCACCTTGCTGTCGTCAGTAGCACCATCATTAGAGCTTCAGTGAGTCAGCCAGGCTGCGCCAGAGGCTAGCGGCAATGAAGAGAGAGAGATGGTGAGAGATAGTAGTAAAGAAAAGGAGCAAGATAATGGAAGAGATAGAAGGAAAACGGTGAAAGAGGCAAGACATAGCGGAGGAGAGCAAGAGAAAGATGCAGGAAAACCTCCACTGTCGCTCCTTTAAGACTGCCCCGTTCCCTCTGACAGAGAGAAGGAGGGAGGAAAAGAGAGAGATGGGGATATAGAGGGGGAAACGAAAGAATAGAGAGGGTGCTTTTGCTTCCAAAGAGAATAAAAAAAAAACACACAAGGGGGCAAGCAGTGCAGGGAGGTGTGTTACAGCTGGAAGAAGCAGTTTCTTTTGTATGTGCATTTGTGAAAGCGTGAGATTTGTAGCGACGCACCAGTCCGATGTTTCTGGATCCGTATCAGCACCGATACTTATTAAACGTCTCGGAAATCGGACAGACGGGACTGATTCACATTCAATACACAGTGTTTCCTCTATCGTTAAATAGGCAGAGTGTCCTGCCGTGGATTCTTGCCCATCTGTCTGTCTGTCTGTCTGGCTATCTATTTATTTTTTGTCTAGTATTCACTATTTTGTTTCACAGAAATAATATCTGCTGTCAAATGTGAAGATTTAGACTAGGTTTAGATGCCAAGTCTGGCACGTGTCCAATCTTTGAGATAGCGTGTGTTGTGTGGCTGGTCGAGCTGGCTTGTGCCAAAGGAGCAGCACCTAACTTAACTCTAGTCTAGCACATGGTCACAAATTTTTTTGGTGCTTAAAAAAACTTTTTTGCAACCTGAAGTATTAACTTTACATATGGGGGCAGTCGTGGGCTGGAGGTTAGGGAATCAGCCTTGTGACCCGGAAGGTCGCCAGTTCGATCCCCTGAGCTTGACCGTATGTGACTGAAGTGCCCTTGAGCAAGACACCTAACCCCCAACTGCTCCCCGGGTGCCGTAGATTGGGCTGCCCACCACTTCGGGCAAGTGTGCTCACTGCCCCCTAGTGTGTGTGCTCACTAGTGTGTATGTAGTGTTTAACTGCTCAGGTGGGTTAAAATGTGGAGGTGATATTTTCCCCTTGTGGCGCTAATAAGGGTCACTTAATTAACTTAACCATGTATGTATGTGGCGATACATCGCATATCGCTGTTGTCGGAAGAAAATGGTAACTTTACAGGAGAAAACCTTTACTTTCCATGT